TGTGTGTGTGTGTGTGTGTGTGTGTGTATTTTTTAATCACAGCCTGAACGATTAAGATACAGTGACCTCATGCAGAGAGACTCAGCAGTGTCTTTGGGAAATGGTTCTAATTTCTGCAGACAAGACACTGAGCATTGTAGATGTCCTTTCCATGTCTGGCAAGGCCAATTATTTTAAAAGATGACATAATATGAATTGGACTGCCCTGGATCACCAGCTTCCAGGACAAAGGGCAAATCCCAAGGAACCAGGTACCTACCTGCTCTTGGGGACACATCTTTCACCCTGACTCCCATTCAGATTTACCATGTTGGTAGGTTTTATAAATTTAATTGCACTTCAGTTGGTCTTTGCCTACTTTCACTGACTATCTAAACAGTTTCTGAAATGTCTGGTCCCCTGAGAGAATTTGCCAAGCTATCTAGAGCTCAAATTAGACCATCACTTATTGAACTTGGTGTCAGATCTAAAACATCTTCAGGACTGCTGCACTGGGCTTCCATGGTCTGTGGCACCCATCGGGGGAGCATTGGAGGATGAAATTAAGACCGGAGTCATGACACCAGACTACAGCTCCACAGAAGAGATGTCTTCTTTATAACTCAACTGCTGGAGGAAATATTTTGTTGGACTGTATTGTGTAATTTTAAAACTCTATTGTGTCATTTTAAAAAGGTGCCAGCAGCTTTTATGGGGAGTTTGATAAATCTTCCAGTTATTGATCTGAGAAAATTGGAGAGCTTTGAAAATTGATAACTATCAGAACTCTTTAGAACAAGATCTATACTTGGTTGACTTTAAGGCTTTTCATAGACACTATTGCCTAACCAGGAGAAAAAAAAATTAGTTATTGTTCACAATGCCAATTTACACATAGAAAAAAGAACCTCTGAAAAAGAGAAATATGTGCTATTTTAAAACAATAAAGTTCATTTTTACAGGAAATTCAATCTGGCAGGTTGTCAATATATTTTTGTTTTATTCACTGAAGTTATTAAAGAGTTCTGATTTCTTCTCACATTCCCCTTTAATAAGGGCAGGAACTGTTTCTCATTTTGGATTTGCATTGTTGACAGTTTGTAATGTTTTTGTAAACTGAAATGTCTTCTCATGCCTAATAATAAATAAAATCTCTTCTCTTCATTTGAAAAGGGAATTCAGTGGAGATATCTGTTACCAAACTTACCATGTTGCTTAGAAACATACTATAGTGATATATGCATACCCATGTTTATAGCAGTGCAATTCAAAATAGCCAAATTATGGACTCAGCTTAGGTGCTCATCAGTGGATGAATGGATAGGGAAAATGTGGTGTATATACACAACAGAATTTTACTCAGCTGTAAAGAAGAATGGAATTATGTCATTTTCAGGAAAATGGATGGAACTTGATAGCATTATTATTATTATCATTATTATTTTGGAGAAATACCGGGGATTGAACTCAGGGGTACTCGACCACTGAGCCACATCCTTAGCCCTATTTTGTAGTTTATTAGAGACAGGGGTCTCCCTGAGTTTTGTGTACCACCTTGCCCCGCTGATAGCATTATGGTCAGTGATAAAAGAAAACTCAGACGGTTAAGAATTATATTGTATCCTCTCATACGTGAAAGTTAGAGAGGAAAAGGAAAAGAAGAGTAGGGAGAATCTCATGAAAATTGAAGCAGATCAGTAGAATAGAGGAAAGCAGAGGGAGAAGAAAAAGGAAAATACTGGGGAATTATATTGGTCAAATGGTACTGTTATGTGCATTTACAATCCTGCCAATTGTATAATTTTAGTGTACCAATAAAAATACAGAAAAAATAAATTACTCAGAAAAAGAAATATATTTTTGTTTCTTGTGTCAGATTCTGAATCCCCATACACTATGCCAGTGTAAGGACATTATCTTATTTCTTTCCCAATACCGTGTGATACAATAGGCATTCAATGAATACTGTTAATTTAATGAATGAGTCAACTAAAGTTGAGTCCCTACTTCTAGTGTCTTTATTTTCAAACTGCAATATGAAAGTTATTCTTCATTAGTGTAACAGGAAAATGTTCTCAAATTTGGATTCTTAGATTCTTATATAATATAATAAGGTACAGTATATTTAATAAACTATATAATACATCTATATGCCACAATAGAAGGTTATTATGTTATTATATAATAAGAAGAACACATTCTTGCTGGATAAAAATGTTTTATATATACACATATGTGTGTATATTTTATATGTATTTTACTCTCTATATATTATATATTTAATCACAAATTTATTCTTGCAAAAAGACATTCTGATGCTTTACCAGAATCCATAATAAATGAATATCCTTGTCTAGCCACTGTTAGAATTAGGAAGGAAACAAAATTCATCACCACTTCTTATTGATGAATCAGAAATTTCCAAGTATCATTTCTCTTATTCAGATACATGTAACCTGGTAAATACACACTTTCTGATGCAATAGAGACATTTTTCTAGACCATTTCTTCTTCAAGTATGTTCAATGAACATCACCTTGGGGCTTATTAGAAAGTGTAGAATGTTGTCCCTACCCCAGACCTACCAAATCAGAATCTGCATTGTAATAAGATTCTGGATTATAAAACAGGTTAAACCAAGTTCACAGGCCTCAGGGATGAACAGCTGAACTACACCTGGAGAGGTAGCCAATGCCTATGCAAGGAAGTCCACACCAGCCCTTCTCAGCCCTTTCTCCTTGGATTTATAATAGATGGGAGGTCAGCTATTCCTAATCCACACACCATTCTTTCAGAACTGTTGACTGGGGCAAAGTAAGTATTTTGAATTTAAAAAATGAATTTGTGCAACTGTTACATCCTCTCCTTTGTTTTGCACACCTTGTTAGCCTGGGTTCTCCTTCCTAGAATGAAGAAACTATTTACTTTACACTCAACCTTGAACAAGGTATTATGCACATGTAGTTTTTAGTGTTTTCTAGAGATGATGAAGATAATGCTAATGACTGTGATGGTAATGATATGCTGAGAGCACTTCAAATGCCTCTGCCTAATCATTCTCACTAATCTGCTCAGAATTCTAAGTAACCAGTGATTTTCTAAGCAGGATCTACAGAGCCCTAGATCTTAAGAGCAACGCAGGACCCAGGCTCTGAGTGGCACGGCAGACAGAAAGGAAATGAGGCTATGATCCAGAAGACAGGCAACATAAACCTGAGCACTTTTGTTTTGATCTGCTTCCATGGAAGACTAAACAAACATTACTTTCTAACATTAACTTTCTTTGAACATAAGAGTCTCCTATTTAAAGACACTAGATTGCTAATGTAGTCCTACAATTAGAGACATGG